CCTAAACCACCGAATGCCATTCAGGTCTAGGAGCGTCAGCTTTAGTATTATATGGGGTCTATTCACAAAGCTGCCGAGGGCAGCCGAGTGAATGACCGATCAGAAGTGAAGTGAGCCGAACACCGTTCGGCTATTCACTTCAGGCTGGTACGGCTGATTTCAGCCGTATATCGGCTGAAATCAGCCGTACATCGGCTTGCTTCGTGTGGCTTCGGATCAGCCGAACATGCTCAGCATGTTCGGCTGACCCGAAGTGCAGAAGGAGTTCGACTCAGCCAATCCAACATCTGGATCGGCTGAGCCGAACCTCCGGCAGGCTTCACACTGCTGTGGCTGGCTCCGCCCAGCTGTCAGAAGCAGGCTGTCGGCCGGCCAACGGCCGGCCACTCGGCCAGCTTCGTCTTTCAGCACGGCTCAGCGCTCGAATGAGCCGCTCGGCCGTGATCGGGAGCTGTACGGGCTATTGTGAATTTGAAGCTACGGCCAGATCCTTCGGCAGCTTTGTGAATAGACCCCTATGTATATATATGGCTCCCATGTTGTCGTAACGAAAATTTGTATTAAGACCAATTCGGATGCTTTAAACTGAAAAACACATGTGATTGGCCAGAAAAGTCACATGTGCGATTCAGTTTAGTTTTTGACCGAAATTTGGACGGGATTCGAAATTCAGAAACGGAAATTCGCATTCGGACATATTCGGATGCATTGGGATTCGGGGATTTGGATGTGTCTGAATTTAGGAAAATTTGTCCGAATTTTGATTCGTAACTAAACAAATGGCACATGTCTACAATTTAATAGAGCTGCTGTTTCCACTGCTGGCATAAAATGAACATGGACCTTGTATATATTACATCTGAGAAAGATTTATGTAGTGTAAGGTGATACCATCTCTATGAAGTCTACATTATGGAGGCATCACTTACACTATTTCCTTATTAAAAACAATATTTTGAAGTGGACTTTGAAGGGATCTTAGGATGCCAATGTTTTTATTCTATTGCTAAAAATGATGATGTAGAAAAACCATATCTAAGTGGTGTGTCAAAGCGAGCCCAGTGATGTCACTTTTACCTGTCTGGTTTTAGAGAATGAGCTCTATAGTAACACAGGTAGAGGTTTTCTGTGTTCCGTAGTTTGTAAATTGCTCAGAATGATTTAACATCATACTTTGACCATCTAATTATTCTGAAATAAGCTCTTTGACTAATACTAGGAAACTACAAGCATGCAGAACGTGTGCACAAAAGACGCATGTTCCCGAATGAAAATAAAAACAGCAATTGTATATTTTTCTCACTAAATTCTAACCGTGCATACCCTACTTTAATGTCCGAATAATGCTGAGGCTCTATTTACTAGGTTAAGGTTACTGTATTATTATTATTATTATTAAAGATGCTGCAGATTTGCACAATAGTTTGGAATCATTTTTATGTTTTTATATGTTCAAAACATTTTCTTTTTAGGGCAAAGAAACCCCAGTTAAAATAATTATCATCCAACTATTAAGGCAGCCCATTGACATCAAAAGGATTCTGATGTACAAAACATCCCAGTTATCGGACATATCACAAAACGTTTTTCACAACGCACTATGGTGTGTTGCCTTGTGATATAATGCCTGCGTGTTGGCTTAATGCATTGGGGTGCTATTCAAAATAAATGGCACTGCAGTGCGTCAACGCATGTATCCTGCACTACATTAGCACTCCGCAAAATATATAAAAGTAAATTGACCTACAAACTTTTCTCAATAAAGCAGCCCAGGATACCAGGTTCCCTTGGTGCTGAAGACTACATGTCATGGTGCATGCGGGCACTGCGCATCGGCTGTATTGTCATTCTAGAGCCTCTTCAGTCATTTTATGGAGCTGACACATTCTCTACCTGACCCCTGAGCCAAAACCTGATAACCCCGACATAGACCTCAATCGCTTTCTTAACCTCAACCTGTTCCTAAACCCAACTGTTGAATCTATCCCTAAACCTAAAGCCTAATCCTAACTCTTATAAAAAAAGTAATGGAAAACCTGTTGAGATTGAAAACTTAGCATTGAACTGTTGGCCATACACTTGCCCCTTTTTGTTGTTGAGCCCCACGGGCTAAACCAAAAAGAAAGACCGCTCAGTCCTTCCATCTACGCTAAATACCATGGATGGAGTTATTTCCCTTGCGGGCTATTGTACTGTGACAGCCAGCACCCGCAGTTGATTGCCCGCAGTCACTGTTTGGCCAACAATTTTCCTTCAACAACAGTCAATTGAAAGATGGAGTAGTGTCTGCAGAGTCATACACAGCTCACATTTTGGTTAACAGGAGTCAAACTAAATTGGAGCAATGTAGGCCTAAATTCAAATGATCTTTTTATGTCTGGCAAACCTTAGTGCACCAGACCGTAATCTGGCATATTTCATACTGTAGCTGCCCATGCATCAATAGTTTTAATAATTTAAATATTAATTAAATTATCTATTGACTAACACACACTTATGTACACAGAATGGATTTTAAAAAAACTGGAGCAGACAAAATCTGGAGCAGCTGTGCATGGCAACCAATCAGCTTCTTTCGCTCATTTTCAAATCTTAGCTGAACAAACTGAAGAGAGAAGCTGATTGGTTGCCATGCACAGCTGCTCTAGATTCTGTCTGCTCCAGTTTTGAACGCTCTGCACAGATGGCTCCCCAGCTATATTGGTGAGATAGGTGCGCTACTTCTGACACACAAGTTTACTTGTCCAGTGCTGAACGTTTGTTGCAGGTTATGAATTATTATTTTACATTATAATTACAATAGATAAGTCCTTAGATGAGGTGGCAGCATTAGTTTCCTTTTTTAAGGCCAAGTATATTTTGTGCAAGTACAGTATGAGTAAGTATGGTCACCCTAGGACAAGAAGTTTGTTACTGGCAGGATCATCAGGTGAAAATAATGGAAAAGTACCCTAAAAAAAGAGAAAACTAAAGCAGCCACCACAACTAAGAACTTGTACGCTGCGATATATGAAAGGTTTGTTTTTGGGTTTAGATATGCTTTTATGACTTGTATTACTTACTATGCTTCTGTCCATTAATCTGGTACCATCTTGTCTCCACTGGCCTTTTCATTAGACTGGGTTACCATATAACAGTCGACACCTCATTTGGTTACTTCTGTGTTGTTGACCCCTAATTTCCTGCAGCAACATCTGCTGTCTCCTGCCTGGTAAAGATATTAGACTGACCATTTCTCTGTTTATCTGTAGTAGTACTTCTGCCCCCTGCTGTCTAGGTGCTCCATGTCCCATCTCCAGAGCAGCTACAGGCTAATGAAAAGCATGAGACGATGCCCTTATCACATCATCCCCGGGGGTAGGCAACCTTGGCCCTTCAGCTATAAGTCCCATGATGCATTGTAAGACTCTGACAGCCACAGGCATGACTCCCAGAGCCAGAGGCATCATGGGATTTGTAGTTCCACCCCAGCTGGAGAGCCGAGGTTGCCTAGCCCTGCATTAATCTTTTACTCAGGTATGTAATAAATGCACCTGATACAATGGCAAATACTTCAGACATTTGCCCCACAGCCTCAGAGTTTTATATGCTTTACAATACTGAAAGATTGTAATGTAATGATCTGCACGACATACCTAATTAAAAGAAAGTGTGTCCTATATATGTAAATGCAAGGAAGGTAAATGAGAGAAGAGGCACCCAGCTCCTTAAAGTGACATTAAACCCTCAGATTTTTTTACATAAAAAACAATACTGTAATGTGCGCCTTACTGTAATCCATGGTTGTTTCCCTTCTCTTTGCTGCTCTTCCTTTTAAATCTGTATCTAAGCCAGCACTACAGGAAGAGGCCCTGAGCTGAAAAGGGAAGTTCACCCCAAGCATGAGGACTTAAAAGGAAGAGCAGCAAAGAGAAGGGAAACAACCATGGATTACAGTAAGGCACACATTACAGAATTGGTTTATGTTACAAAATCAGAGGGTTTAATGTCACTTTAAACAAGATTGTTGTAGAACTACAGCTGTCCTAAAGATTTAATGCCACTACTTATTTTTTAGAAATCTCAGTTCACTATATTGAAATGTATTGACTATACAGAAGAATCATGAATACACCTGAAAACTCTCAATGAAAGCATAACCATGTATTACAGTTATAGATGCAAGCATAATAACATTTTTGAACAAAAAAAAAGCAAATTTTACTAACTACAGACTAGAATCTCTGTGTTTTATACTACTGCACGGCTGTGTATAATATAGTTCAGAATTTTGGCCCCAGAGGATCCCTTGAAATAAAGACTCAGTGGTCAGTGAGGATGTCCCTGCTTACACTGGTGGTCAATGAGAAAAATAGTGAACTTACAGACAGCTAAAAACATCATTGGTGTTTATGCCGCTGACTCTGGAAAGTGATGTTGGCCACAGAACTATGCAGGTATCAAATAAAATGTTAGCCTGCCACCACTCAAGGAACCACTAGCAATCTCTGGAGGAACCCTAGGGTTCCCCGGTTGAGAATGACTTCTATAGATAGGCCAAAGCTGAAAGTTACATGTTGAGATGTATGCAGTGTACTCAGGCTACATTCTCAGTACTATTCATCCAGGTCTTTCTGTAGTGCCCCAGTCTGATCTACTCTCTTTTGTCTGCAATCTTGTGATCTGGGGACTACTGTTATGTAAGAGAGTGATTTCCAAGGGTAACCACTGGCGTGGTGTCACTTACAAAAAGCCTGATGTAAAAAATTAGGAAGTACAGACTAGAATCTCATCCAGCTCCAGTCAGATATAAATCTGCCTACGGTTTGATACAAGACACAGAGTAAAAAACAGTTTCAGGTAGTGTCCTCTCACAGTCACCTCGTGAGGAACTCTCTGGTTTCTTGCTACAAGGGATTTCAGAGAATTGCTCTTGAAAGCATCCTAATATCTTAATGTGTAAGTTTTAGTTTTCACTGTATTGTACTTTTAATGAAAACATTATTTCAAATATTACTCACCTTGACAGGATGTAGATATCCATCTCCATTGTGTAAGGACCCAAGAAGATCTGGGCTAAGACTGCTGGAGCTGCTAGGGCTGGTGGATGTATGGTTGTGGCTGCTCTCATCCTCCTCCTGGAGACTGCGGGTAAGGTGGGCAATGTAAGTTGTAGCAAGTATGAGAACATCCAGCTTAGACAGCTTTGTGTCAGGGGGCACAGAAGGTAGTGTCCTCTGTAGCTCCAGGAAAGCATGACGCAAGGTTTGCACTCTGTTTCTCTCACGGGCAGCATTGGCAGCAGCTGGTCGGCCCCCCATTCCACTGCCCTGACTTCCTCCTGCACTTGATCCTTCAAGTTTTCCTCTTACCAACGAAATGTGAGAGTCTTGTTCAGAGCGTCCAGGAGACTCTTCCCTGACATGCAACAGTCTGGACACCAGAGGGCGTTGGACCTTCTCCACCATTTCCACATAAGACACTGTAATGCATAATTTGATAAAGAACAATTTGTTTTAAAAAATATACTACAAAAAACTATTTAGCAACTCAGATAAACTAATTAGAGGTCACATTTGATATTCCTGACTATATTAAATTGCTGAACTGTTACTGCTTGCTATGGATATGTGCACATTATTGTATTGTTTGATGTTTCTGTTTATGATGTTATTAAATAAAGTCTATTAAATAACAACATTGAAACTCCCATGGTATTATTTTTTCTTTCGATCTACAAAGCTGTCTGGACACAAATTACACATATTACTTCTATGGAATGTGATGTGATAACTTTTATGAAATATATGGGATTATTTCTATAAAATGTGATGTCATAATAAAAGCAGGCAATGGCTTCCTCAACAATTTTATTGGGTATAATCAGAACTTTAGTTAACCCAACTGAAGAGCCGAGAGATGTATACCAGTGTACCATCATACTGAATGACCTATGTGGATGCACAACACTTACTAGCACTGCTACAGAGAACGCAATGTATTATTCGTATTTATATAGCGTTGAAAATTGACACAGCGCTTTACAAACTGCACATTCATATTAGTCCCTGCCCTCAAGGATCTTCCAAATCTAAGGTCCCTATCTCACATACATACATACACAGAGACATATGGTAAAAAGTAGGGATGCACCGATACCAAGTACCGTACTCGGTTCAAGTACAGACACTTTTTGAACTCCAAGACAAGACTAGAGAAAAATTCAAAAGTTAGGACGCAGCTGTCATTTGTAAGGAGCACACGGAGCTCCTGGGATTTGTACATCTCTGTTTTAAGGTATGATTTTGTTTTTACAAATATATATAAAGGGATGCACAGATACCAGTTTTGCAAGTACAAGTACTGATACATTTTTGTTTATTGTCATGTGACAGTTTTTCTAAAACAATACTGACTAATGGTTTCAGAACAGTGGTGGAGTGCCAGAGCCAGGTCCCAGCTGCAACCGCTGCAACCCTGGGAGTTCTCATGAAAATGCCAAGTATCAGCAGTGGTACTGGAAAAGTATCGGTGCATCACTAGTAAAAAAAGTTAGATTATAACATAAATAGAACAATTCATAGGGCAATTTTTAACATTGTTAGGTGAACTCATGGATACCAGTTTTACTTAAGTTTCCCAGAATCAGCGAATGTCAGAGTATATTTTCTCCCATATACTTTACGTTGTAGACATCTAAAGACGTTTCTCAGGAATTCGAGAAGCAGTGTTATGAAAACATGAACATCCAAATTTGACACTGTGAACTCCAGGCCAACAAGAAAATAATAACTATTAAATAATTACAAAAAAAAATGCATTCCACATAGTACAGGGTTCTCACTGGGCATTTTTGAGTTTTGAGTTAACTTATTTCTATCAAGGTTCTCGTCTACATTTACCTGGAGGAATCTTTTCCATAGCTAAACTACCCAAGAATAAATGTATTTTCAAATTTCCTAGTAGAGACCTACAAATCTTAACATAGCTTAATATTACTGTAAATTATATGTGCAAAACCTCCTAAGTCCATCCATCTTTACAACTTTGACTGCATGATGTTAAAATATTAGAATAAAAATAAAAAGGAGTTGATTTATTATCATTATTTATTTATTACAAACTGAACAACGTCTATTACTTTAGTACATCAACCCATTTATGTTATTCCTAAAACACCTACATATAAAGATCAATTTGTTTTTCCCCCCACTCTGAGTCACATTTGGGGAATATGCATTTAAAGGAAGATTACATTTTCCAGGAATACCCAGTACTTGATGGGTACTAACCTGTTGCCTGGCATTTAAAAAAGAACAGACTAAGGCCTCATGCATACGGCAGTCAAAGACCGCAATGTAAAGAGTTTTTCGTTTATGGATTTGAACGCAGGTTCATTGTTTTCAATGGAGCCGTGCACACAGCTGCATAAACATGCTCTGCATTCAGATCCATAACATAAATTCAAAAAATCTGCATCTGACGACATATATTTGATGCATGTATACATGTAAATTTATGTTTATTTATATACTTGTGTGTGTATGTGCAAGTGCGTAAATAACGAAATAGGAAAGTTCCACTGGAAACAGAGCAGGAGGAATGGAACAAGAATTGTATGCATTTAGATACATACGTGTTTAGGTGTGTGAACGCAGGCATTTTACTGATCATTACCCAGGAATTTTGGGGTAAATGATCAGTAACATGGGTAAAGGATCAGTAAATTACAGTCATGTGCATGTAGCCTAATAACTTCAGGTCCTCACACATGGGACACTTATTAGTCAAGGAAGGTACATTTAAACTGTTTGCTGATAATCAACTCATATAAGAGCTGACTCTGAAGAGCCCACCAGCCCACCATCAAGTCAGGAGGGACAGGGGGCCAATCTACCCATGGTGGCCCAGCTTTAATTACCCAATGATTGGTTATGAATTGCACTATATAAATATTGCTGCAGTTATTGGCACCGTCATATTTGCACAGAAAAAAAAACAATATTTAGGGGGTGTGAATAACCGACCCGAAGTGAAGTGAGCCGAACGCTGTTCAGCTATTCATTTCAGGCTTGTACGGCTGATTTCAGGCTTGTACTGAAATCAGCCGTACATTGGCTTGCTGCGGCTAGGTTTGGGTCGGCCGAACATGCTTAAGCCATCATAATGACAGATCAGCGTCCCTGGTTACCCAGTAACCAGGGACGCTGTTCTGTCATTATGATGAGAGCTTAGCAGAGCCGGCTTTAATATCACCGCCGGCTCCGACAAGCTCTCATGACAGTTCAGCGACCCCTGGTCACTAGGTAACCAGGGGACGCTGAACTGTCATTACACACTGAGCACTCGGCGGAGCCGACGTGATATCACGGTTTCTCCGCCGGGTTCTCAGTGTACTGACAGATCAGCGTCCCTGGTTAGCTGGTAACCAGGGACGCTGATCTGTCTCTGCATGCAAGTGGCCGGAGCCAGTCGTGAGATGATGGCTTTCACCTCCGCTCAGTCAAGCCGAGGCATATGCCTTCGGCTCGACTGAGCCGCTCGGCCAACTTCAGGAGCTGTACGGGCTATAGGGAATAGCCCGTACAGCAGCCCTTCGGTTCTACTGAACCAAAGGGGTCCTGGGGCGAAGCTAGCCAAAGGATCAGCCAAAGCTACGGCTAGATCCTTCGGCAGCTTTGTGAATAGACCCCTTAGTGTTGCAATCTAAAAGGGATTTGGTGGATAGAAATTCTTTTGTAATATACACAGCATTCCCAAAATGTTCCCGCTGTAGAACTGCATGCTCCATGTCTTAGCTTTCCTGTAACTGGTTTATACATTGCAGAGCTGTTTTTAGAGAAACTTCATAATCTTGAGTAGTCCTCAAAACCATATGCTGAAGCAATGCTTGGGCAATCTGGCAACACAATTGAAATCACCTAGATTTAATTAGTTCAATGCCAATTTAAATTCAATCTATTATATATGAAAAAACATTAAAGTGTCATGAAGACAAAGCAGAAAATCACATTTATATTTTAAATTCATACTATCAATATTGAATAATCAGCAGTGGAAAATAATTTTTGTTTACTTATAGCTCAACAGCTCCACAGAATCAGCTCTCTGGAAAATTTTCTTTGGCTGGACTCTGCACATAATTACTCAGAATGACTGTGTTCACTAACTTTTGCATTATATAGTAACACTAATCCAAACACTGAATTACTTGGTGGAGCCCTATTCCATTGTTAAAGTGCTGCATCTCCAAGTGCTCCTTGCTTGGTGACAGATCCTCTTTAAATGAGCAGAGTCATTTTTAGAACAATTAAAAATCAATCACATTACTTCAGGTTAGAATCCTGCCAAGATCAGCCATCTTTGCTGTGTGTACAATACTTGAAAAAAATTGGCACAATCAGCCTTGGCTTTGACAGAGCGAACATCTGTGTATACAGCTGTATATCAGATCAGATATATTTATACAAGAGCGCACAGCTGACTGCTGGATGAATGAGATCAGGATTATGAAATATAAAGCAGAGGTGAAGAAAATCCTACAAGAAGGAATGTAATCCAAATAAGTGGTTTCTGGAACAAAATCCACTATTTCAACAAGTGATGTAGAATAGTTATACAGAAATGTAGCTTTGACATTCACAAGTTCCCATCACTCCTACAGATCTGAGTAAGTCATAAACACATACTCTAATAATATGCTTCCTTGTGCAAACCTGCAATTCCTTCTCCAACTTTTACCTTATTTATAGGGGTGTTTTATCTATTTTTTTAGGAATGTTTTTCCTATTTTAGGGTTGTTTATATTATTTTAAAGATTGTTTTATCTTATTTTTTAGTTTTTATCTTACTTTAGGAGTGTTTTATTTTTTGTTTTGTTTTTTAATCTTATTTTAGGGGAGTTTTAATCTTATGGTTTTCGTATATTTTTAATTTTATTTTAGGGGTGTTTTATCTTTTAGGAGTTTTTTATTTTAAGTTAGGGGTGTTTATCCTATTTGTCAGGGGTGTTTTATGTTTTATCTTACTCTTTAGGAGTTTTTATCTTATTTTAGGGGTTTTTAATCTTAGTTTTTTCAATATTGTTTAGGATACAAGTCTGCAAACTATAAATAAAATTATTTGTGTAGATATATACTGAGTATGATTATTTATATCTATCTATCTATCTATCTATCTATCTATCTATCTATCTATCTATCTATCTATCTATATTAAAACGAGTTCTAGAAGGATGGTCCCAGAGGAATCTCAGTGTATATTTTGCTTGTGTATAATGTATGGGCAGCAATGTATATCAATGTATCTGATGTATCTGATATGTGACACAAGCCAGCAGCAGCAGTATATATTTATTATACAGCTAACAATGTCGTCATACATCACATTTACCCTCATGACATTAATTAACTATAACTATTAACAGTAAAGAAACTTTCTATTAACAGTAAAGAAACGTTCTATTAAGCCCCTATTACACTCCCCAAAACTGCCCCAAATGTCACCTTACTCCTCTCTTGCTGCTTTTAATTTTGTACTGTTTTATTTTTCTGGACCGGAAGGAATATTTCAATGGAATAGTTCATTGCGGCTGCCTCTGAAATGAAACCAGTGCTTCTATGAAATAAAAATAATCTCTGCTATTTACTATAATGTGCATAGAGGATCGGACTATAATCATCGGAAGTATTCATTGTGTTTTTGTCTCATATTATATTATTTAATAATCCTAACTATCTCATCACGATTTTCACCCACCGCTACAAAATATTCGTCTTGCTGCAACTTAAACTCCCTTGTAGCTCTTCATAATATAATTTGGGTTGCTTTAGGTTCGCATTCAAAATGATGACTAGGTAATAAAGTTAACCCCTTGCTCCCCAGTCCTGTATCCTCATAGCAATACAAATTAGAAATGTATTTTCAGATTCACATTTTGAATACACTACAACTAAATTACAGATCGAATGACACGGAATCTCTTTGGTCATTGACCTCGGGCTTCAACTCCCCAACTTGTTTATAAGTACAGCAAATTCGATTTTCTTTCTATATATTCATCAATATCTATATACCTCAAATACTATGTAACTATGTAACTATAAATATGAGAACAGAAAATAATTCTCTCCGGCAATTTCTCTTTGTACTATAAGTGAATGTTTGGGTATTAGGCAGAGATGACTCCTGAATGGTTTATGTCATAGTGTTATTTACACAGTAACATATACATTTAAATGTTATACATGTGCACAATAATATGCGAATTGAATCTCAGTGTATATTTTGCTAGTGTATAATGTATGGGCAGCAATGTATATCAATGTATCTGATATGTGACACAAGCCAGCAGCAGCAGCAGCCATCCCCTGGAAAAGCTGTACTTACTCCTCAGGCTGAACATGACTTATGGGATTTATTTTTAGAAACTGTAGTTTCTTAGTAAAAGCTGTATAAAACTATAGAACTACTATCAGTATGAGGCTTCAAATGTTTCTCCATCATTGCAAACTTTGATCGGTCTAGAGAAGTTACTACTTAATCCGGTAGTAAATGAGAATGATGGGACAGAGATGGGGTGAGATAGGTGACCCTCTTACCTGGATCCAGGGTGGAGTGTAGGTGCAGCACTGGAGGATGGAAAGTAAATTTATCTCCAGAAATGGACCATCAGATGGAGCTGGTTGTCATCACTGGATGTAGGATCTGTCTGGAGGGCTGGTCGGCTTAACTTTCACCAGCAGACAAGGCAGTCGGTGGTCTTGCTTGAAGTGATCTAAAAATTTCAGCTAGTTGACTGCCCTCTTATTCACACCCCACCCAGAGATCAAATGACCTGCAGCAGCTAGTGCGCATGTGTGAGCCAATCACATCACCTGGGTCACTGCAGAACCCTGGGGACTGAATTACAAGTGTCACATCTGACAGCCCTCCTCACAGTGCTAGATGTCCTGACACAGCTCTCCCTCCTTCTAGCAGAAACCAAGCCTGCTTTTATCGGTGGGAAACGCAGGTACAACTGTAAAAAGGGCATTACAAAGTTATTGTCCAAGAGTTACAGGGACCTTGTCATGCTGCAGCACTCTCTGATCTCTTATATAGGATGATGTGGTATCCCTGGGCTGAGAAAGCTCTGTAGTTTGCACTGCAGTATGTACATTTCTTTGTGAACATGTGCCAAGGTCGTGCACACTAAAGCATTTACATAGTCTGAACAAACACTTTAAAATAAACCCTCCTTCATCTATATATGCCTAAGCATTGGGAAGAATTTAAGAAATTAATTTTTTACATTTCGCAACATTAAAATCTCAGCTTTTCATGGAGAACAAATCTTGGCAGCCTGCAATGTAAACACACAGCAGGTGATCCTAAAGCTGGCCATACACGGCATGACTTCTCTTGTTCAACCCCACAGGGGTTGAAAATCACTTGATCCCTTCCATCCATGCTAAAGATGGAGAAATCTCCATTGCAGGCTATTGTAATCTGGCGGTCATTACCCTCGGCCTCAGCTGATTGGCTGCAGTCACTGTTCAGCCGATAAGATGGGTGGTGCCAGCAAAGTTACCCACTGATCAAATTTCAGCATATTCTGCTAAAAAGGGGCAGAATGTCATCTGTGTATTGCTATCATTAGGATGAAAAAACTAAAACCCAACTTTATAGTGTTTGTTGTGAATTTTGAGAATGAGTAAATTCACAGTAAAAGCAGCTAGAGAGGTCAGAGGTGACTAAGTTTTAAGATACAACGGAAATCTAACTTTTTAGTTTGTTTGTGTGTTTAGTGAGATTCATCCCCATTATTTGTCCTGGTGACTATGATCAGTGGAAGTGAAAGATAATCCCAAATTTTGGGTGGTCATCAGTACAGGAATAGATGGGAAATCTTCCAATGGGAACACTAATTGAGTTTAATGCTAATGATATAAGATTTCTTTGTGACTGAAGAAATAGTAAGGTGTAGATGTCTCTGACAAAGATAACCCATGAGTATAGACTGTTACATTATTTTTGTTCAGCTTTCTGTGTCTGCTGCTATTGTATTTTGGTAGTGGCGCCCTCAAGATGTCAAAATACCTGAACAGAGCCTGCAGCTGATTGAATGCAGGTGATGTTCGACCGACAATTTTCCACCTGGCTCCTTTGTTTTTTCAAGAGAA